GTCAATGTAGCGGAAAGGCAAGTTTCGAGTGTTTGTCTCAAAGACTTTTCATACATAAGTGTTGTTGCGGATGGAGTTCGTCTCGGGATTAGCGGGTCAGTTTACAAATTTACGATGTTGTATTCATCAAGTCTGGTCCCCAAAAATTTTCTTCTCTTCTTACTTAACAGTTTATGAAAAGCCTGAGAGTGGATGCTGCTGCGTTCTAGTGGTTGGAGAGCTCAGTGTCGGTAATCCGCGCTCTCATTGCTGGCGGCCTGAGCTTCACCTCATTATATAAAGTTCAATTGCAGGGCGGCATTACTGTACGACCAATATCGGAAAAAGGCTCAGCTTTTCAAGACTAATGTTATTTTGGTGCCGCTGGGGGATGATTTTCGCTACGATACACCATTTGAGTGGGAGAGCCAGTTTACGAACTACATGAAGTTGTTCAAGTATATGAATGCACAGCTTCCATGGAATGTGAATGTGCGTCTTCAACGTTTTTTGCCAGCGCTTTTGTTTTAGCACCTTTTTTGCGATTTAAAAAGTTGTATTTTCGAAATATTATTAGTGTCGAGATTGCTAAATTTCTGTCTTTGTTTTGGGACAAATTCAAAAAAATTTTTTGTGGTCAGGGAAAGAGATGAACAGAACAGGAGTGGATCACACTCAGATCTCTGGTACCTGTTTACTGCCCAGGCTTTGTGTCTGCAGAATTGTACTTCTTGTCCGTGTAACCTTAGTTAGTTTTGAAATACTCTATAACTTATCATATTTTCGGAAACAATATCTGTATTTTGTTTCTGTTTCTCTACCACTGGCACTCACAGCTGCTTGGACTTTCAGCGAATTCAGATAGCGCTAGCTGAATCTTGGAATGATGTGTCTAAAGTGCTGAGAAATTTCATTGGAAAGTTTAAATATACTGGCAGTATTACTGCAAAAATGACTCCTTTTCTCCTCTCCTCTCCTTTTTCCTTTCCGCCCCTTATCCCTTTCCATCGCCTCCTTCCTTCAGCAGATGTTGATTTTTGCAGATAATGGGGTAAGCGAAGGAAAGTAAGCTCGCTCTGTTATGGGCTGCCGTTTTTTTTCTGCTGTGTGACTTCGGTAGTGCTAGGACTTGTTTATTTTCAGGCTCGATTCGGCACGCTAGATGATTATTTCCAGTTGGTTGATGAACGGTTGAAAGA